CAATGACACTATAAACTAAGATATTCTTCAGGCACTGGCTGTGCCTGGGGTCTGGACAGTTCTCCTTCCTCAGTGCCCATGGGGGGTGTTACCCACAGGCCCTAAATCACCCGGGCCTGTGCTGTGTCCTCACAGGGACATGGCACTCCTGTTTGCTTCATTCCATTAAAGAAAAAAACCAGGCACAGCCACTGGTGCGGAGCTGATCATAAGCAACCCACCAGCGGCACCCCGCTCCGCAGCCACCCCAGCCGCCGTGCTAACGCATGGCTGCCGCTGTGCAGCTCTTTCTGCTGGACGTGGCATTCGCCTTCTCCCACACCTAAGAGGCCTGGGCCAGCCCCGGGGCTCAGCACCAGGAATGCCGTCCATCGGGCAACTGTGAGAGCCGACCGGAGCCAGGAATCTGCACTCAGGAGCTGCACACGGAACATCAAGGGCGCTGCTGGCAGCTGAAGGGTGTTTGCAGAGGGAGGTGGGGAGACGAGGGCAACCCTGACCTAGGCTCTTGCTCGGATAAACACCTGAGCGACAAAAAAAAAAAAAGAGAGAGGTAGTAGCTGTAATATACAACATTGTGAAGGTAACACATGCCACTGAATTGTTCACTCTAAAATGGTTAATTTTCTTCTACATGAATTCCAACACAATACAAAGATATGTCACCTATATAATACTGAATAGTTTCTGAATGTCCTGAGGGACAAGGCAGCATTATGTTCTGAAGCTGCCGCAGGTCTGAAGGCCCGGCAGCAGCCTGTGCTTTGCCTTTGGAGAAAGAAGGGGATCCCTCGTGTCTTCGCAGGGCCAGATCCTGGCAGTGTCCGCAGTCACTCAGCTGGCCACCACTGCAGTCCAGACCACCGCGGGGCATTTGTGTTTGGGTTTGTTTTCTCCTTGGGCTCACAGAAGGACTGGCTAAGGTGGTTAGTTTGATCAAGAACTACCCAGTTCCAGAGGTGGAGCCTGAAGAAGTTTCTATTTTTTTTCTTCAAGTGAGTGGAACTTTCCAGGAACAACTCACAGACTGTGGATGGATTACAGATGCATTTGACTGTGGCCTCTACCCACAAGGGGCCTCATGGAGGGGAAGGAGGAGGAGCTGCCCAATGGGCAGAGTCGTGGGGTATAGTTCCGCTCTACTCCAAACAGTTTGGCAAAGGCAGAAGCTGACTGCAGAGAAGGCCGGGTGCGGTGGCTCACACCCGTGATCCCAGCACTTTGGGAGGCCAAGACTGATCACTTGAGATCAAGAGATCGAGACAAGCCTGGACAACGTGAGGAAACTCCGTCTTTACTAAAAATACAAAAAATGAGCTGGACATGGTGGCGGGCGCCTTTAATCCCAGCTACCCAGGAAGCTGAGGCAACAGAATCACTTGAACCTGGGAGGCAGAGGTTGCAGTGAGCCAAGATTGCACCATTGCACTCCAGCCTGGGAAACAAGAGTGAAACTGTCAAAAACAAAACAAAACAACAACAAAACAAAGATGGCTGGATGGACTTATCCTAACAGTTCACAGCGGCTCAGGAAACAGTCCTTTGTTGTCTCATCAGGTGCAAGTACAGCCTCCCAGACCAGATACACAGGTGGCCCTGAAGACCATCAGAACTGCGTGGGGGCTTGGCAGGGCCCTGTGGCCAGCAGGCGCTGAGCTACCCATGTACAGGTATCCCACCTACCCTTTAAACGCACAGAGCCAAAAGGAACATTGCATCCTTCATTTCAAAATGGCACTGGAGCCCAGAGCCCAGTGGCTTTACCATAATCAATTTGCCTCCATCAACACTGTCACAAGGTCTGTGACTTCAGCTACTTCAGTTTCCCCAACTTCAGCCCTTCACCTCCTTCCACAGGCCCTCACGTACTGGTCTCATTTCTCAGCATGTTGGAAAATATCAGCTCCAGGAGAAATTCCTTTGCCCTTACATAGTGGCGGGTCTCATGAATACAGAAAAGCCTGGAGACAAAGTTGTGTTCACTTGGGGAACTCTAGGTCCAGCAAAAGGGGATTGTCCCAGGGCTCCCTCACCAAGGCAGCTTTCCTGAGGAAGCAGACTGTGCTTCATCCTCGAAACTGCACATTTGCTGGAAATGTCATCAAGAGTTAACCATACCCCAGCCCACTGAACTGGTTTGGGCTGAGGCAGCGTAGAATGACAGGTGACTGCAATATTCCCCCAACAGATTGTCTTAGGTTGAGAACCCAGGGGAGGTTGTCCCTTAGTGTTTCTTTCCGTAAAAGACTGAAAAACTGTCTGGATGCTTTGAAGGCATTTACAGCTGCACAGAGAATCTTCTGACTCCATCTAATAAGTCACTGTCAGTCATCAACCTCTCTGATTGCCATATGGGTGAAGAGATGGGAATTTAAATAAACAGTGGATTTTGAAGATGAAGAACATTATGGAAGGGCCTAGGCATGAAAGCCATGCATCAAAGCATGAGCACATGCGTCTCTCTTGACAACTTCATCCCCAAAGCCCAGAGAAGCTGGATGTGGACCTCCTGAGCATCTGCCTCCTCGGCATGTAGACCACAAGGAGGCACACCGCTTACTCAAGGAAGTACAGGTAGCACTGAAACCCTCCAGATTCCTTCCGTTTCCTTGTCCACTCAGGCAGAAGAGGTCATTACAAGGCCTAGTGCTATGACTCTGAGTGGCCCTATTCCCTAATGCCCCTGGCTCATGTAAAAGGAAAAGGAGGCCAGGTGTGGAGGTTCATGCCTGTAATCTCAGCACTATGAGTGGCAGAGGCGGGTGGATCACTTGAGGTCAGGAGCTCAAGACAAGCCTGGCCAACATGGTGAAACCTCATCTTTACTAAAATTACAAAAGTTAGCCAGGTGTGGTGGCACACACCTGTGCTGTGTGCTGTGAACTGTTAGGATAACTCCATCCAGCCCTCTGTTTTTTTGTTTTGTTTTTTTGACAAGAGTTTCACTCTTGTTGTCTAGGCTGGAGTGCAATGGTGCGATCTTGGCTCCCAGCTACTCGGGAGGCTGAGGCAGGAGAATCGGTTGAACCCAAGAGGCGGAGGTTGCAGTGAGCTGAGATCATGCTGTTGCACTCCAAACTGGGTGACAGAGCAAGACTCCATCTCAAAAAATAAATAAAGGAAAAGGAAGACATACTGTTATTCCTCCTAGGATACTCTTAGAATATTATCATGACCCTATTCCTTTACCGATCAGGAAACTAAGGGTCAGAGGGATTAAATGGCTGTCTCCAACCTCAATAGCCAGTGAGTAGTGGGGGCAGGCATAGAATTTAGGGTCACTCTTACTCCCAGTTCAGTGCTCTTGGTGTCTCCAGAGAACGAGGCCTGTACACTGAGCTTGTCTAAAGCATGTGGGAGGCTGGACATGGTGGTTCACGCCTGTAATCCCAGCATTTTGGAGGCTGAGGCAGGAAGATTGCTTGAGTCCAGGAGTTCGAGACTTGCCTGGGCAACATGGTGAAACCCTATCTCTACAAAATATACAAAAATGAGCCAGGCCTGGTGGCGCATGCTCAAGGGCTGAGGTGAGAGGATCACCTGAGCCTGGGAAGTTAAGTCTGCAGGGAGCCATGGTTGTGCCACTGCATGCCACCCTGGGTGACAGAGTGAAAACTTATCTCAAAATAAAATAAAATATTAAAGCATATTGGAGCAGGTGGTATAATTTCTTGGGCTATGTCTCAACCAGCTGCCAGCCACCATGGGCCTGAACTCATGACAGGATTTCACCCCTATCATTCACACTACAAGGAAAGAGCCCCCCAGAGCAGATGTTCCCCGGTCACCCTGGGATTCCTGGTCTACAGGATAACGGGGCCTGAGCTGACACTTTTAAGTGCTCAACACCTAACAACCTGTGACTTTTCAAAAAAAGAAGTCCAGAGATGTGATCATCCAACATATTTGCATGGTTTTCTGAGCCCTTTCCTGCACGTGATCTCGTCTGACCACCCTGACACCCTTAGCCATACACTTAATTGGTTCTTTGAAGATTTCCGGGTTTCCAGAGTCAACCTGTTCAAACAAAATACCCCAAGGAAGGGATAGTACCTTATACTTTTATTGGCTCATAGCTTGGCAAGAGTTGGCAGCTGGCTGAGAATTAGGCCCTGAGAAGGAAACAGGATTGGGAGGGATTGGGAGGGGGTCAAAAGGGAAAAAAAGAAAAGTGAAAGGGGGAGGCAGAGATGCCCTGATGTCCTCCCAGAAGCCCACCTCAGTTTTGCAGAAAGAGATTCTAAGCAAGCAGAAAGAAGTTCCCAGCTCCCCCAGCCCCCCTGCCACCCCCACCAGAAGTAAAACCAACTTTACTCATGAGGGCCAAAGGTAGAGAGGAACAGAAGAAAAAGGAGAGATGGGAAGACAGAATAAACCAACCATCAGAGGCTCTTCAATCTTAATTCATTTTATTCTACAAAATGCTACTCAACTGAAAGTGGAAAAGCCAACCCCCCACCCCCCAAAAAATCGCAAAGGAAAGTTTTAATATGTTCTTTCTTCCATAGCAGCAAGCTTTTTCTAACAAGCTTTCTTTAGTGCAAATACTGTAGGCTCATATTACATACAGTAAAACAACAAAGTAACAACAGCAACAGCACACCACCAGAAAGGCTTCCGAACAGAGCTACTCCTCAATTTTCAAAACTACACAGATTTTTGAGCTTGCGGTTCTGCCTGGAAGGTCTATTTAGGAGACTCCAATGGGACCATGTCACCATTGCTTTAAAAAAGAAAAAGGTGCCCAGAAAGGTAATTAAATTCCCCATAGAGCTACATGAACCATGTACAACTTGTTTCTCTCCAGGGTCTTACAGCTGACTTCACTCCACGTCATTGATGTATCTCAAATACAGATGCGCAAAGCTTATTTTCTACTATACACCAAAATGCTATATATATATACACATCTCCCACGGCAGAAAAGACACCCTGATACCCTACTCTTTATACAAAATCAAATGTTTTCTTCCTGGAAATCAAGTAAACGCAAACTAAAATAAATGGAATAAACTTTTAATCATACAGAGAAGTAATTTTTGAGGATCAGGACAGGATCTTCCACTGTGTTCTCTTACAATGTACATGTGTTAGCGACCACTGTCCCCAGAGGAATGACAACCCACATTTAAAAATAGAACCTTTTTATACAGTTTACACAGCACAAGTCACAAATCACTTTAGAAACAAAAATACATTATCCTAAATTTTTAAAAAAAGGAAGCGAGAAGAGAGAGAGGAACGGAGGATTTTAATGCTATCAGTTTCTATTCAGGCTTGATACAACATAAAGAAGATGTAAACATTTAAAATAAATAATAAAATAAATGTCCATTTCTTCTCCCCCTCCCTTTCCCATAACCCTCTCAAAATTCGATCTGCCCTCCTGAACATGTCATCAAGCATTGGATAAATTAAACCCCTTGGTTGATGTATGGTCAAAACACTAGAAGCGTAAGAAGATGCCAGATTCGTAGTGGGATGACTGGGTTTCCTTTTAAAAAGCTACAGAACATGGGCACGCCTGGAAATGTACACACACATGCGCGCACACACACAGCCCAACCTGTCAATAAATAGTGAGATGCTGGCTTTTAAGATGAATGCCAAAACAACTCAACAAGCAGAAGGTAGCAAAGACCCCTTAAGTTTTTAAAAGAAAGCTCTACACACCACATATCCTATTGGTCCCCAAATTCTCTAAGGACTCGGGTTACCCCTCGGACCATCAGGGGAGTGCACAGGAGCACATGGTGGGGTAGAAGTATGGAGGTGGGAGAATATTGTAGGGGTAAGTCCTTGAGAACAAACATGAGATTGACGGCAGATCTCACCTCCGAGTGTTGCTGTTTATCCATTACTTAGGGGCCTTTTACAAAGAGATGTCCTCATCGCTTAGTCTCATCCTAAAGAGGATATATATAAAAGCTCCTAACACAGTGCCTGGCACATAGTAAGTATATTATTTTCCTTCCTAAAGGGGGCACAAAGATGTCTGATCAGGGAAGGAAATCAACCCGAAAGTTAAATGGTGAGATTGCATTTGCACTGTTGGTCCGTCAAGGAAAAGAGAAAAAAAGTCCCAGTGCTTCAGAGAGTTCAACCACCCTCACACTTGGAATCAAGCTAGAGCAGAGGGAGACTCTTTTCCCCAAAGCCTGAGAAAGAGAAGCAGCAGCCCCAGGTGGCTCTTGACTTTGAGATGCTTGAGCGACACACCTGGCCCCCAACACAGGCAGAATGATGTTTGACTCTTTCTGAAAACCTCCCCAGTGAATTATCTGCTTGGAGCTGGCTGCAGCAATTTCCTAAGTCTCAGCTGGGATCTCCTCTCCTTCCTGTGTCAGCAGCTTCCACATTCACCTGGCCAGGGAGAGTACTATTCCCAGAAAGACTGGCCAGGTCAAGAGGACCGTGTGTTTTACACGAGCTGACCAAAGAGTACCTGCCATGTGCCCTCCCAGATCTGCCTGCAGCTCAACCGGAGTCCACATCAGCTGCCTCTAGAGTGGGGCCGTGGGAAGCATGGAAGTTCCTATCCCAAGCACAAAGACAGCCCCACTGCAGCTCTTCCACAGCTGGAGCCACGGAGGTGACTGGTGATTCTGAAGCAATGGTGTGTGTGTGTGTATGAGAGAGAACTGAGAGGGCAAGCCATAAGGAAGTAAACTCAGGATATGCTAACTTAGATGTGAATATTCAGTCTTCCCCAAATCAAATCACCTCTGGCTTTGGGGAAGCCAAACAACCTCCTACAACAAAGCCTGGGGGTCTTCAGAGGGAACGTAGCTCAGAGGCCCCTTACAGTCCTGTGGGTTGGCTGGTGCTTTGCCTTCTGCTGGTCCCGACACCAACACAGCTTGAAATCTGAACTGAAGCCAAGCTGTGTCTCAGGAATTTGTCCAGCCTGGCCACAAATCAGGCTGCGACCTGCACTGGGATCTTTACTGTGCAAAGTGGGGAGTAAGGGAGCTTTTAGAAATAAAAGACAAGAAAGCAGCTTCATTTAAGAAATACCTATATGCACAAAAAAGAAAATAGCTCCCACTTGGCTACAAATACCACTTGAGATGATTACACCTGTGAGAACTGAGAGCACCCCAGTTTTCTTTGCCCATCTCCTGCTACTCCTGGCTCATTCTGCTGCTTCGATTAATCTGAAGCCAGAAACCCAACTGCCCAAGCTTCTTAGAAGGGTCCCTCCCAGAGTCCCTGGGAAACCTGGAGGGGGAGCATCACAGCCAAGGGATACAGGAATAACATTTCTAAAGTATTTGAACAAAATCCTTTTTCTTTGAAACTCTGCTTTCTGCATCACTTGTACACATCACTTCCAGTCCTACTGGGCCATGTACTTTAAGTGTACAGATGTTCTGCTCCGTATGTCTACTGCATGGAAGCAGGTAATGTTCATGAAATAATGACCAGCATGCGTGGACTCCACGTGCGAGGGAGCAGCTGTGTGAATGTGTCACTGCTTTCTCCACAGAGGAACTTAATTAATTAGTCTATCTTTCAAATGAGGATACCGTGATCTCTAGAGCTGAATCCCCAGCAGCGGAGTCTCTGCAGAGCACAAGCCCCGCAGAGGCCGGTTCTGGCCAGGAGCTACTCCCCTGACTCCTGTCAAGGCCCTGCTGGACCAGAAACGGCAGGAGTCATACTCTGGGGAGAAAAGGCTCAGAGGGCTGGGTGGCAGGGACCCCACTGAGCTGTGCTCCTGCTGGAGGTCAGGGGGACCCTTCCCCAACCCTGTGAAAGGGGACGGCTCTCCCGCAGTCAGAAACAAAGTATCCTATTTCCAATTCCAGCAGCCGGAAAGATTCCACAGACAACCAGGAACAGCACGTGAGCCACAGCGACAGCGACAGCTCAGCACAGCTGCTCACAGCTTGCTCACTGCCTGGGCCAGAAGAGCACACTGGGGTGGGGGCAGGGGAGTGTAAAAGAGAAAGCACTTGAGCCAGCAGGTGGAAGATGACCACAGAGGGCAGGACAGGCCCGGCGCCCTGCGGAGAGGCGAGCAGCCAGGGCAGGCTAAGCTGAGCGGGTGTTGGGGCAGCGGCTCCTGCAGATGCCACTGCAGATGCCACTCCAGTGACAGCCTCCCACCTCCCTCCCCTGCTTCTCCATCCACGGCAAATGCTCCTTTGAGGCTTGGGGAGGGGCTGCCTGGCAGCAATCTGGGGAAGGTCCAGGCCCACGCTCATTAAATCTCTGTGGGTGGCGTCACCCTGAGAGCCAGGGTGGGAGGGAGGCAGAACCCGGCAGGGACTTGGAGTATAATGTACAGCTCCTAGGGAGGGGTGCCTCCCTGGTCTGAAGAGAAGGGTCTGGGGCAGAATGGCAAGGCAGTAATTACAGGAGACGCCCTACTCAAGACACCAGGTGAAGGGAAGCTGGCTAGGACACCTGTGTGGCTTTGTTGGCACTATTCCTGGCCTGGTAATTAGGCATTTGGCAAACGCAACCTGTACCCCACTGTCTCACTCACACCCTGTCTTCTGGCCAAGCCACTCCTCCAGAAGCCGTCTCCGAAGGTGGGCAGGAAGGGTCCTCTGAGCCTCCCCGTGATGGCAGCATCTCCTTGAGAGCTCAGGGAGCCCTGCTGGGGTTCTGGAGATGGAAGCACCAGGGTAGGGAAGGTTCTGTATTGCACTTTGTCCCCTTCTGGACAAGTCAGCCCCAGCAGAAGAGTCACCTGCTGCCCCGTCTCCAGAAATGAAGAGCTTTAATATTCAGACCACCCAGATGAAATGTCATGGCGAATTTGATAAAAACCAAGAGGGACTGAAACTGACACTGGGGAGGGAAGGGGCAAGTCGAGGGAAGGTGAAACCAAAAGGCACTGAGCATGCGTGGTGGGGCAGGAAAGGACACCATCACTCCAGAGACAGTGTGGTAACAAAGGGACAGGAATGGTCCAGGCCAGCTTCAGGCTCTTCAGAAGCCAGAGAGATGTCCAAGTCCACCAAACCGAGTTCTCCAAGGCTTTTCAAGAAACAGGATTTGCTTGCAAGATGAATGAGGGAGGAGGTCCCATGGCTTCCAAGAGATCAACCCAAGTCTTCCAATACTCACTGCTAAGTCCCACCTGGATCCCCCAGAGCCAGGAAGCTCCATGGCAGGTCCTCCTCTTGCCCTCATGGCCCTGAAGCGCTTGAAGGTGCTGGTCCCTGGGAAGGAGGAGCGAGGAGGACCCCCTCCCAAGCTGGGGAGGAAGGTGCACTGGGTTACAGAGCCAGCAGAGTGGGGGAGTTCAAGGAGTCTGATGACTGGTCCCCACTGCTACTGCTTCTGCGGTGAGCCTTGGAGCAGGATTCGGAGGGTGACGCGGGCGACTCCTGCTCCAGGACGCTAGGGTAAGTGAAGACGAGGTTTGAGGTGCCTGGAGTGACAGCAGGCGTGGAGGTCACCACGATGGGGGTGTGCAGGGGCTCTTCACCGTAGAAGCCCCCAGCAATGCTGATGGGCTTGATGACAGAGCGCTGGGCCTTGTCCAGCCCCGCCGATGAGGACGAGGGGCTGTCCTCTTCCAGGGGCTCCTGCTTCACCACCACAGCGCCCACCACACCACCCCCACTGCGCATGGGTGGCAGCCCGGGGGCTGGGGGCGATCGGCGCTCCTCAGGGCTGATCTTGCACACAGGGCCGTGAGCCACCAACATGAACTCCAGCTTCTCCTTCTCCTTCTGCAGCTCAGCGATCTCCTTCTGCAGGCCCGACTTCTCCTCCTCCAGCTCCTCTGTCTCCTGCCAGGGAAAGAGAGGGATGTGAGGGACAGCAACCTGCCAGGGACCCTGCTGGGGGGCAGTTCCAATCTAGGCAGGAAAGAGAATACCAGTAATGTCCTCAGACACTGTGAGAGCACAGGCTCACACACCTAACCACAGATGCCACTGGTCTGAGTCACCTGGAGGCTCAAGATTCATTTCCAAAGAAGGAGAGTTAGCTTCGAGAGGGGGCACGGTAACAACTGCAGCTGCCATAATGCAGCACCTACTGTGTGCGAGGCACTGGGTTAAGCATTTCATAGGTAACCTCATTCAATCTTCCAGCAGTTTTTGGAAGAAGATGTTACCATCACCCCATTTTGCAGAGGAGGAAAATGAGGTTCAAAGGGGTTGTGTTAATTTTCCAAAGTCATAGAGCTAGCAGGTGGGGTAGCCCAGATTGGATTCCCATTGTATCTGACTCCAGAATCTATGTGCTACTACTATGTTCTACAGCCTTGGGGCCAGGACTGCCTCCTGGTACCCAAGGGGTGAGTACTGCAGAGATCTGCATGGAGAAGGGGCATGGAGAAGGGGCATGGAATGCAGCTCTGCACAGCCCTCGTCTTGTCTTCCTCCCAACCCCATGCCAGCCCAGCTGTGGATGGATCCACGCTAAGCTCAAGGCTGCAAGAGAGTGGAGACTGTGTCACGCACACTCCTGTAACCCCAGTGCCTAGAACAGTGCCTGGCTTCTAATAAGTGCTCAGCAAATCCCTGTGAGATCATCATAGCCTCTCCTCCCTTTTTTGGCTCCAATTTCTTTCTTTTTTTTTTCCTTTTTTGAGACAGAGTCTCACTCTGTCTTGCCTAGGATGGAGTGCAGTGGCATGATCTTGCTCACTGCAGCCTCTGCCTCCTGGGTTCAAGCTATTCTCCTGTCTCTGCCTTCATAGTAGCTGGGACTACAGGCGCCCGCCACTACACCTGGCTAATTTTGTATTTTTAGTAGAGATCGGGCTTCACCACGTTGGCCAGGCTAATCTTGAACTCCTGACCTCAGGTGAGCCACCCACCTCAGCCTCCCAAAGTGCTGGGATTACAGACGTGAGCCACCACCTCCAGTCTTTTGCTCTACTTTCTTAAGCGCATTTCAGGACTCCCAGAACCCTCAGAGAACATTCGGTACAGCCACCATGCTTGACACAGAAGTAATGTGACAGCCTGAGAGGGCCTGTGAGGACGCCATGGCCACCCTGCGAGGCCCTCACCCCACTTCTTTCATCCCCAGCCAGAGAAGCAGAAGTGAGCAAATGCACGTGGAGGGGCCTCTGTGGGAGGGGAGAGAGTGTGTGTCAGCAGCCTCCCCCTGTTTTCCCTAACATGGATGCCTGTTCATCTGCGAGGAGATAGAGGCAAGGGCTTCGTTAAGCAGAGTACGGCATATTCCGGAGTGAAAAAAAGTTTCCGTCTGTCTCAAGGGTCTGATGAACGTCATGAGCTTATGAGAGGCTTCCTGTGGAGGATGTGGCTCAGGGGCCTGGGTGGCTAGGCCAGAGGGCGGGGGAGGCAGGGGAGTAGGGTGTGAGGCTTCTAGGAGGAGAGAAAGAAAGGAGAGGGGCCTCGGGGGGCAGGACTATTCTCAGGCAGGTGGTAAGGAGCATCACGTGGGGCACAGCTCCTTGAAGTGCCAACCAGAGAAAGGGTAGTGGTGGGAGGGCTGGCTGAGGAAGGGGACTACGGATCTCCCTTGCCTGGGAATAAAGAATTCCCACTCATCCTCCCTGGCTCTCACAACTCTGAGGGACATTACTACAGGCATCACAGAATTCAGGCAATTCAATTCATTCAACACCCCAGCGTGAGGGCTGCAGTACAGAAACAAGCCTAAGCCGGTAGACGGTACCTGGGAACATTAACTGAAGTGAGGGGATGGGCCGGGCACAGTGGCTCACACCTGTGATCCCAGCACTTTGGGAGGCCAAGGTGGGTGGATCACCTGAGGTCGGGCAGATGATCTGAGGTCAGGAGTTTGAGACCAGCCTGGCCAATAGGTGAAACCCTGTCTCTACTACTAAAAATACAAAAAATTAGCCAGGCATGGCGGTAGGCACCTGTAATCCCAGCTAGTTGGGGTGTTGAGGAAGGAGAATCACTTGAACCCAAGAGGCAGAGGCTGCAGTGAGCTGAGATCATGCCACTGCACCCCAGCCTGGGTGACGAGAATGAAACTCCATCTCAAAAAAATATAATTAAAAAAAAAAAGTGAGGAGAGGGGGATGTTTTCAAAGCCCCATCCTGGGCAGTCATGGTGAGGACCACCAACAGAGTCTCTCATCTCCACACTCTGAAAGCATTCCACCCAGGAGAGTCAACCCTGGCTCGGGCCCTCCACACAGCACACAGCCCTTCCTGGAGGGCTAGGCTCTGAAGGGAGTTACGTGATGTTGGTCAGGTCAAGCCTAAGACAGGGAAGGGCAGGGCTATGGGCCCCCAGGCCTGGGCAATTAGGCAGCATGGGAGAGTGACTCACAAGGGCAGCATGCAGTGCCACGGCTGCCATGGCGCTGAGTTCATGATAGAGGCGGGGAACCCGCCTGCCCATAAAGGAAATGAGAAAACCCCAAGAAAATACAACTCGGCTGCCACGTGACCCATCTCCATCAAGACCTCCCCCTGGCCCAACCAGAGAGCTTAGGCCAGGCTAGGCCACTCCTGATAGCAGCAGGCATGGGAGTAGCTGGAACCTTGGGAAGCAGCCCTGGAGGGGGCAGGTCTGGATCTGCCCTGGCTCGCAGGGACCTGTGATTCTGAAACCCTCTGCCATCCCTCACCCAGAAGCCCCCACAGGTCCGTGAGCAGAGAACACTCAGGCATTGGGGAAAAAAAAGTGGCTAGACTCCCCCCAGAAGGTTGTTCATTTCTTCCCTCTGGGTCCTGGCTGGTGCTAAAGGCCATCTGCCTCCCTCTCTCTTTTTTTCAACTGGCACAATGCTGACCCATGTGTCCAAAGGAAGGAAAGCTCTATCTCCACTGACTCATCTGTAGGGTACTTGTGGGTAAGCAGACAGCTGTAGGAGAGAGATCAGGACCCCTGGGGCTCTCACTCCAGTCCACCCAGAGGTGTTCCTCACCGCCTGCAGCTTCTCCGTCAGCTCCCGGCGTCGGTTCCGGCACTTGGCTGCAGCCAGCTTGTTCCTCTCCCTCCGGATGCGACGCTTCTCCTCCTCTTCAGGAGACAGCTAGAGGCCAAACCCAATGATCATGATTAGAACAGGGCCAATGGTTCAGAGCATCATGATTAGAACATGGCCAATGGTTCAGAGCATCATGATTAGAACAGGACCAATGGTTCAGGGCATCATGATTAGAACAGGGCCAACGGTTCGGAACATTTTTTTAAAAACTATACTTTAAGTAAGGCAAGAAGCCCTTCTGTAAATGGGGAGAGGAGGAAGAAGGGTAAGAGGAGCATGGCTGGACTCAGAGGCCCCAGAACATGCAGCTCACTGATGTCTGGCTGCCTGGGAGGGCTCTTTTGAGCTCAATCTGCCCCAGAAGGTGATGTCCATGTTTAAAGTCCATGTTTAAACAGGACAGCAATGGGTCAGGGATTCGCTGGCCCCGGCATGATGGCACCACCTGTCACATCAGCCCTGATTCAGTGCCCAGGCCAGAGAGAAGGAGCTGGGGATGCTTCTCCAAGAGTCCCCTCCAGCTCCTGCCAGCCAGGCGTGGCCCCACCCACTTAAGCAGCTTCTTCCAAATCCTGGCTAATTACTCCTCCCATCACTTTGCCTGCTCTGCAAGCCTCATTATCCCTATTTGGTTAAGTAGCTGGGCCTGGAGTCCCCACACAGGTAAGAACCACCCAGGGGGAATGTTATATTGCTGCTGGGAAGGCCAGGAGTGCTACTCAACTCCCAATTTCCTCTGCCATTCCCAGGGTGCCAGCTGCTCACAGTTCAACCCCAAGTACTCCCCCACATGCCTGCTGCAGTGTTAGGTTGGACAGGACATGCAAAAGGAAGAGGAGCCCCCAGCAGGTATAATCCTGCTGCCCACCATACCCGTTCACTCAACAAGTGGGCACCTGCTTCCATGTGCAAGATACAGTTCTAAGGGCTTAGGATTTATCTGCGAACCAAACAAAGGAAGACTCCCCTGCAAAGAGCTTAGGGTCTACATTCTTCCAATGAGATGGTTAGGAACTTGTCTCTCATGCGAGAGGGCATGAATTCGGCCCTACTGAGCAGGGCCAATGCTCTGGTTACATAGAGCCTCGCAGAGCTGTGACCCCAATGCCTCTCTCGGGCAGAGGTAACACAAGGAGCTGACTGTGGGCCAAAGCAGAAAGCAATGCTAAGGAAAAGACCACCCATTCAGTTATCAGACATTGATACCTACTAAGGTATCAAGGTGTGCATCAGACTGTACACCTACTAAGTGCCTAGTGCTATTCTGGGGGCTTAGAAGATCTCAAGGAGAATAAGACTTGGGTCAGCTCTCACAGGACACCTGAGGGCAAACTCAAAGCTACTTTTGTCGGAGCAGGAAGAATTTGTCCCATGGGGGGATACTGCCTGGACTTTGGGTCACCCCATAAAGGAAAGAGCCACTGTTCTGGTTGAAACCAAGTCAGAGTCCCACGATGCTCCCTCTAACCCTGGAGGTCTGCTGCTGTGCTGTTCTGAACATCCAAGAGAGGACAATCATCACAGCACCAGGGAGGGCAATCCCATGCCTGTCACACAGAGGGGAGGCCACGGCTCAGCTGAGGTCATGAGGCCACTTGGCCAAGGCCCTGGATGCTTGCTGCTCCTAAACCTGTCTTGACTTGAGCCCAGCAGAGTTGCCAAGAAAACCTTATGGCACTGCTGCAGGCCTGGGTTTAGGGCTCACCACTGAAAGGGCCACCAGGGCTCCCTGTAAGGCCCAGGAAGCCCCCTAGATCCCTCGCTAATGAGAGGCAGAAAAGAAGGAGGCTGGCCTTGACCCCACTCCAAGCCTTCCTCCCCACCTGGCTGCTTCTGGACAACTTTTGGCCTCCTGATTGACCTAGAAGTCTCTCCCCTGACTGGTGAGGTGTGGGGCAACTCATGGGAGCTGTCGACATCGGAAGTGATCAGGGCCAGTGAGATCAACATGGTTCTAGCTTGAGTGTGTCAGCACCATCACATACCCACCCACAAGCCACACACCCCTCTCCTCCCCACCTGCTCAGCGTCGCTGCCACGGGGCACAGAGGGAGCCTCCCAGGCGGGCTCCAGACAAGGCCTATGAGGCACCAGGTTGGCTCCAGGGACAGGCTCCTCCCTAGCGGGGCAGCTTGGGGAGGTTGGGGACGGCTGGAGTAAGCTTCAGAGTGAAGCCCTGAGGGCTGGGAACCCAAAGAGCCAAGGTTCTAGGCTGCTACTGCCCAGGCTTCCTCAAAGTTGCCGGGTGATTGTGTGAATTCCCAATTGATGTGGGATCAAATGCTCCTTGTTCTCTCCCTGCCTCTCAAAAAAGGAAGGAAATTCTCCAGACAGAGTGTATGAGGCACGCCTAGGTGGTGTGGTGGGAAAACCACAGGGCTGAAAACCACAGGTCAAGAGAAGTGGGTTCCAGTGCTGGCTCTGCCACTAACTCACTGTGTGACTCTAATAGAGCCCTTCGCCTCTCTGGGTCTCAGTTTCCTTATCTATAAAATGGGTGTAAAGGGGAAATGAGAAAATTAATTAATTAATTAATTAATTAATATCCCTTCTGGATATTAATTTCTAAATTTGGTGTAAGGTAGGCCCAGAAGAGAATGGAGAGCATGGCTAGGCATGGTGGCTCATGCCTGTAATCCCAGCACTTTGAGAGGACAAGGCAGGCTGATCACCAGAGGTCAGGAGTTCAAGAACCAGCCTGGCCAACATGGCAAACCCCATCAAAGGTACAAAAAAATTAGCCAGGCATGGTGGTGCATGCCTATAATCCCAGCTACTCAGGAGGCTGAGGCAGGAGAATTGCTTGAACCCAAGGAGGCGGAGGTTGTGGTGAGCCGAGATCGCGACATTGCACTCCAGCCTGGGTAACAAGAGTGAAACTCCGTCTCAAAAAAAAAAAAAAAAAAAAAAAAAGGCCAGGCGCTGTGGCTTATGCCTATAATCCCAGCACTTTGGGAGGCCAAGATGGGTGGATCATGAGGTCAAGAGATCGAGACCATCCTGGTCAACAAGGTGAAACCCCGTCTCTACTAAAAATACAAAAAAATTAGCTGGGCATGGTGGCGCACACCTGTAGTCCCAGCTACTCGGGAGGCTGAGGCAGGAGAATTGCTTGAACCCAAGGAGGCGGAGGTTGTGGTGAGCCGAGATCGCGACATTGCACTCCAGCCTGGGTAACAAGAGTGAAACTCCGTCTCAAAAAAAAAAAAAAAAAAAAAAGAATGGAGAGCATTCAGCACATCCTCAGGCTTTGTGGTCCTGCTAGCCCCAAAGAGTCCCTGCCAAGCCTGGCTCTCACTCAGGATCACTTATGCCCGGGGAGAGTCCAGCTCATCGATGACTGTAAGGCTTTGCACCTTGGACTCCCTGAAGGAAGCGTATTTATGAAGGACATGATAAGCATGGCTACTGCAATATTTACAACTGCAATTATGGAAAGCAACTGTGAGGAGGATACTGGCCACTTGCTCCAGAAGCAGAAGCGAAACATGCAACTGAATCTATTACACTGTAGCAGACACGCCTCCCCAAGCGGCTCTGCACTGTGGTTCTGCTGTTAACAGAACAAACCAGCAAGGAGTGTATACAAGACCCAGCTCTGTTCTCAGAGGAGCAGAGCTCCTGAGAAAGCCTACAGTTCCTGGAGTGGTGATCCCTGTAATTCCACGTATCCTGGGGTCTGGATCTACCATGATCCATGGGGAACCATGTAACACTGTGGCCCAGGGATCACAGAGTGAAGATGGACAGCAGCTGAAATGGGCAAGTGTTCTGATGCTGTCACTGGAATAGTTTTCCAGGATAACATTCCATTTGAAAACGGGATTCCACTGCTAAAGTATTTTCCCTTCCCTGGGCTCAGGGTGGCATAGCCTTGGAGAAGGAACACTTCACAGGAGGTCCAGCCAACTGGGATCTAGCCCATACTTCCCCACTTACTGGAAGTGACCACAGGCAGGTATGTCTGGCCCTTGCTTGTATCATCTGAGATGGGGGACAGATGGGGCTCTCTGAAGGCTTTATTCCATTCTTTCTGGAATTATGCATGATTCTGATTTCCCTTTCCAGGACCAGGGTACCTGGCACTGCCCTGCCTCACTGTTGATCCAGGCAGTGAGCCTCTTGAGTACCGGGTAGGTGCTGCCTAAATAGCAGAGCACCAGCCCCCATTTTCTGGCTTCCCTCCCCAGCCAGGTTAATTCCTTCTCAAAGCTGATCCCCTTGAGGAGAAAAGGGATGATGTCTCGCCTCCTCTGCCTCATCCTCCCCTGTCAGCTCACGCTGCTGAACAGACTCCTAAGGCCAGAGTTACTGCGGGAACATGCATTCCAGGCCTTGGAATGTGCTCCTGCCCTGAGGTGGAACACTGAGGAGGAATGGGAAGTCATGTGGGCAGTACCGGCCCAGAGCCTGACCCCAGAGGTCTGCACTAGACCAGCTAAGGGCTCATTCTAAAAAGCTCACAGCCAGGGTTCATTGGCTGCTTGTCCCATGGCCCTTCTGCCAAGGATCAGAGAAGGATCCCGCTGTGGGCAGGTCGTAATAGTCCTTCCCATCTTTAGCTAAGTCCTGGCTGGCAGGAACTGTGGTCCCCATTGTGTGGCTGAGAAACAGACTCAGAGATTCTTTTTTTCTTTCTTTCTTTTTTGTGGAGAATGGGGTCTTGCTCTATTGCCCAGGCAGGTCTTGAACTCCTAGGCTCAAGCTATCCTCCCACCTCTGCCTCCCTAAGAGCTGGGATTACAGGTGTGAGCCACCATGCCCAGTGAGACTCAGAGATTCTAAGGGACACAAGCGAGATGACGGAGCCAGCCTGACTCTCGGTTCCCCAGCTCTGCCTCCAGCGATGGGGATGACATGCTCTTCAGCCCCTGATTCCCTTGTCTCCCGTGCTCTCAGAACATTAACGCTGCTCCCTACCAGTCTGCAGAAAAATGTTTTGTGTTTCTGGGGCTCTGACAGCCACTGACATGGCCCTTTCCCGCTGGTCTGAGCTGTACCTGCTCATCTCTCCTCCTGCGTCCCACGGTGGTGCCAATGGTCTTGATTACGCCAGGTCTTGGGAGGGCCATGTGCCCAGGGACAGAGGCCAGGCCTGGCAGGGGGCTGTAGGGGTGCGAGCGAGGGTATGGGTTGGACATGGAGGTGATCACTGTGGGCTGCACCATCCACTGCAGGTCCTGGCTGGTCGTGATGGCATTGATGGTAGGGATGAAGGCACTGCCTGAGCCAGGCATATCTACCCGGAATTTCTGAAATGAGGAAAACAATACAATTGAGCCAATACATACTAAGCTGAACAGGAGACTTAATGATAACTGAACAGAGCCGAGGCAAAAACCAACACAGAACAGGTCAGTGTTTGGAGGGCAAGGTCAGGACCACAGGTGGGCCTGGATAATTCCTGTGCATCCAAGAGTCAAGCGGGGAATCTTAACTATTCCTGGGGCTTCACGTCGGAGCTGCTCCCTGACTGGGTCCTGAGAACTCCATCCCCAGGTGGCTCAGTAAGGATACTGTCAAATCCCAAATGATTTCCAAGACAGACCTGGTCCCCAGCACTCACACTCGGCAGGCCCTTTTGGCAGCTCTCCAGGCTATACATCTGCAGGATGTGGCACCTGGGTCTCTTAGGCCTCTGAGTCACCTACCAACTGTTTCTCAGGACACCTTGAAGAGATTTGCACACCAGTAGCTTTATACCAACAAAGATCACCAAGAAAGCATCCTGTGTCTGCTTTTGTCACTTTCCAAAGAGGTTCTGGACAGGGCTATGATCCCATCAGGGCACAGCCAGGTCCATGAAAAGATGCCCTCTAAACCATGAGACTAACAAGTAGCGGCATTTGCAGCCAGGCGTCCCTTGCTGTCCTTATCCCTCCTCCCTTCCTGTCATCAGCATCTTGCTTGGGGCAGACCGGCTGAGTGTGCCTCTCTACACAGCTACACAAGCACTGATCTATGTTCACAGATGTTTCTGTGGGAAACTCTGGGGCTGCTAGCACAGAGTTTTCTCCCCATCTCTTAATTTATGCCCAGACCACGTTGCAGAGCTCTCTGGAACATGCTGCAGGAAGCATTCTATTTAAAATATAAGATGATGACAGAGCATAAAAACTAAAATGGGCTATGTTCCTTAGCAGTTGGTCTTGACCTTTCTCCAAGGCAGCCACTGGAAAGTGGAAGAAGCAGGGAGGAGAGAAGAGCCCCCCACTTCCAGCTTTTCTGTGGAAAGTCCCCCTAATGGAACCCAGGTGAACCTTCATCTTCAGATGATTCTTGTGTCCACATAAAGCTTCTCCAAGTAGTTTCTTCCCCACTTGGAAAGCGGGTGAAATTATGACAATAGCTAAACCTTCCTGGGCACTTACTAAACGTCAGACACTATGTCTTACCTAGATTATCTCATTAATTCTTCCTCTGAGGGAAGAATGACCATTAGCTCCATTTTAGGGACAGAAATTTAGGCTTAGTGAGATTAAGTAACTTATCCAAGGCCACATTGCTAATAAGCAGCAGGGCCAGGATTCAAACCCAGTTCAGCCTGAAAAAGAGGCCGGAGCCCCTGAACACAGTGATATATAAGCTCCTTTGCCATTGCTTCTTTCTTCCTCAAAATGCAGCCCTAAGTGCTGGTTATCCACCCCCACTGCCCTCAGACAGAGTGTCAGGTCATCCCCTATAGACCTTCCCTCTCACCAAGAAAGCCCCACAGATCTGTCTGGCCCCGAATGGAACCCCACTATCATTAGCATGGATGCTGTAGTATCCCCTCTATGCCGGTTCAGTCAGACCAACCAGGATAGAAGCATTCGCAGCAAAGCTGGCACGATTGTCTTTGCCCTGTCACAACATTGGGGTTCCTGCTGTGTAAATAATGCTTAGAGTACCCCACTGTAGCTGACATAGCCGGGGACCCCTTCTTGCTCAATTCCCTGCTATCTGCCTGACCCCAGTCTGTATGGTTAGAACAAGCTGAATCACCTCCCAGACCGCCTCGGGGGTCTCAAGCCAAAAGCATTCAGCGAAGAGAACTGCCCAGCACAACGGACTCTGGGACTCTGGAGGACAGTTACCCAGCGCAATGGATCCTGGGGTTCGGGAGGAGAGCTGCCTAAAGCAGTAGGTTCTGGGATTCCGGAGAAAAGTTACCCAGCGCAATGCATTCTGGGATTTGGGAGGCGAGCTGCCCAGAGCAATGGGTTCTGGGATTCTGGAGGAAAGTTACCCAACGCAATGCATTCTGGGATGGAGGACAGCTTCCAGAGCAATGGTTTCCGGGATTCTGGAGGAAAGTTACCCAGCACAATGCATTCTGGGATTTGGGAGGAGAGCTGCCCAGAGCAATGGGTTCTGGGATTCTGGAGGAAAGTTATCCAGCGCAATGCATTCTAGGATCGAGGACAGCAGCCAGAGCAGTGGGTTCCGGGATTCTGGAGAAAAGTTACCCGGTCCAATGGATGCTGGGATCCTGTGAGGAGAACGGCCCAGGGTGACAGATTCTGGGCTGCATTTCTGAAGGCAAAGAAAAGTGGGCTTTTTATCATGCACTGACTGAAAAGCAGCAGGTGTGTGCATGTGGAGGAGGGAAGGGTGCAGTGAGCAGGAAAGCATCCAAGTGGGAAATCATCTTCAAGGAGGAAAAATGGCCAACTGGGGCTGGGCTATGAGTAGGCAGAGTCGTGAGAACAGCGGGCATGGCTGAGTGTGTGTAGAAGCACCACGTCCCAGACAGCTATTTTTCTCCGGGGCTGCTGGATGGGAGGGGCGGAGTCAGCACTGCACTTAGGGTCAGGAGGCTTGGAGTTGAGACCTGGCTTAGCCATTGAATGCTTTGCCCTGGGCTCAGAGGACTCAATTCCATGGATGTGAAGGGGAATGCTCATCACACTCACTGTACTGTCATGAGGATTAAATGAGTAGCTACTTGTAATCACAGGCTATAAAAGCATGCCAGTGGTTCTCAACCCTGGCTACACAGAATATTCCAAGGAGCTTGTTAAAAACCGCCAATGTCAGAGCCTCACCATTAAAAGTCCAAAATAATTGGTTTGGGGCAGGCATCTGATAAGGTTTTCTTTTTTTTTTTTTTTTTTTTTTTTTAACTCCGAGGAGATTCTGAGAAACATTGCTTCAAACAAATGGAAGGTCATCACCACCGACCACCACCATGACATATGCCTGTGTACTTTGCACAGGTGGCTCTGGGGAGAAGTGCCAGCTTCCCACTCCTGGGAAGCACCCAACTTTCAAATTCCATTTCTCTCTCCAAGCCAGGTTCTGGGTTTGAAATGCACCTGAGGCATCCAGCACAATGGTTTAATATGACCCCCTCCTCCATGGGGAAGCTGTCAGCTTTCCTTTTAGGAAAGCACCGAAGAAAGTCACTCCTCATTCCAACAAATAAAAGTGTTCCCGTTTAAGGCTTGGGGAACCCAGCAGAAACCCTGAAGCAAAGCTGAGAGACTAAGATCCCTTGGGAATAAGTGCATGCCTATGAGCCCCTCTCAGGCCCTCCGGTCCACCCGCTGTGGAGGGCAGGTCCATGGTATGTGCTCCCTGGTATACATCAGCCAGATTCCTTGCAGCAATGGCTTGGTCTAGACAAAACAAGACAGCAATAAAAACCAGGCAGGAGGTAATGACTGCCTCTGAAACGCATGTACACCTTGTTTCAGACAGGAGGTAAGGCCATCTGGATCATACACTGGCTCTAAACTGCAAGGAAAACAATGTCCCATCCCCAGAGGGGCCCAGGGCTCTGATAAAGAAGGCTTTTGTCTCCAAGAGGAGCCTCTCTGGGAGACACACACAAGTTTCAATTAGATCTGGCAGATGGGCCTTGTCTCAACTCCCAACATGTTATTCAGAAACGTGTTATTCAGACAGTAGGGTAGGAGAGAAGAGGTGAAGTTAGGAGTTTGTGGTCCCAGAAGTTAGCCTGGCATTCTTCTATGCCAAGAGACCCGAGAATCAGCCAAATGTCACACTGGAGATAAATCATGGTTCTCTATGAACAAGTTAACATTAAACACAAACCAAGACAGAGCCGCTCGGCTGTGGGCTACAGGGCAGTTTCAGACCTGCTGCAGTGCCAGGAGTGTGCTGGGAGTGACGGGATGGCGCGAGGGAACCCAGAACCTCACTTGGCTCCTGGGGGCTCTGCAGCCAATATGTCCTCCTCGAGAACACAGTGAAGATGCTAAGTGCCTGTGTAGCATTCCAGCCTGGCAAAGCCTCCAAATATTTAACCATGTCACCCTGTCAACTTCTGGGTGGGCAAGAATGCCTATAAAAGGATACAGTAGTCCCCATCCACCTCCTACAGCACAGTCTAGCAAACTTTTGCTGTGAAGGGTCAGGCAGGAAATATTTTAGGTTTTTGTGGGCTATACAGTCTTGGCTATAACTCAATTCTGCCACTGCAGTGCCAAGGCAGCCCTAGATAACGTGTCAACAAGTAGGCATGACTGTGTTCCACTGAATTTTATTTAGAAAAATACTCAGGCCATAGTTTGCCAACCCTTGTCCAAGAGGTTCATTCTTATCTCTCACGCTCAGGTTGGAGGGAAAGGAATACAGACAGGAAATAAGAAAGCAAAAAATCAGAGCTGACATTTTCCTCTAACCCAGGTAACTGAGGAGATGGGCTCTCACTCATCAGCTCAAATCTCCAGACCCTAAGCCGAAGTTCAAGCCCTTACAAAAGCTTTGTGGTCTTCGGGCGTGGAAACCCCCATCACCCTGCTGCTCCCTGTTGCGAGGGTGCTGTGAGGCTGCTTAGAAAGTATGTGTGTGCTCCTTCTGCTACCAATAAGAAAGACGGCTGAGAACACAGATCCTCTAGGGCCACCAAACTTCAGCAAGTCAGAGAAGTGCCCCAGCCCAATTGTTGCTGATTCGGGAAAACCGCCTCATGAGACTCTAGGGCAGAGCCTTGGCTTCAGCCCCGAATCCATGGCTTTTTGCTGGTAGGTACTGAAACTAGGGTTTGGGCCCCTACAGGCCTGGATGGGGCCAAGGACTTAGCCCAGAGACTCCTGAGTGGGCAGAAGTGGTGTGTGAGATGGGAGTCAGGGTTGGGGTTCTTGGCCCAGCCTCGTAGCCAGGCAATTCTCCATCAGATGGATTCTTGTCTGAGTTATTAAGTATTCAAGCCATGAAGCCCTGTGGACTCCGGGACCTGCCTCACCAGGCAAGCAGGTATGACTGAGTGTATCTAGGAAAGGACTGGGTTCTCTCCCTTAAAGAA